AATTTATATGTATTACATATTAATATATAATTAATATAGTATTAATAATACTTTAATACATTTTAATATATTTTATATTTATAATAATATACATGTTAATTATTACGTTATTTTATATATTAATTCTATATTTTAATATTTTATATAGTTTAACTATATATTAATTCTAATATTATATATTAAATTTAAATATATATTATATTCCGGGTATATTAAAAGGACTGTAAATATTATGTTAAAACTATACTAAATAGTATATATAATTAATATATATGATATATTAAATAATGTATATAAATAAACTATTTTATATATAGTATGTATAATTAATATACATTAAAACTACTAAAAGAACTATAAATGTTATATTAAAGCTATACTAAATAGTATATATAATTAATATATATTCTAATTTATATATACTTAATATACATTATATAGATAGTAAATATAATTAATATATATTATATTAAAACTATACTAAAAGAATAGAAGAAAGGATTTCATCAGAAGGCTAGCAAGGAATAGAAAGGAATGGAATGATAACAAAATCTTGTGACTGACTAGAGAGTCTGAGACAGCTGGACTTTGGCCATTAATTAAAAACAACTACATGAGAGCAATCAAAGATGCACCTGTTGCATTCCACTGCAGCAGATAATTATTGTTTACATTTCGTTTCTGAAGCTTCTCAGCTTCTCAAGAGAAAAAATCCTAACAAAAAGATTTTTCATAAAATATGTTTGTGACATTGGATGTGCTCTGAAGGAATGCTGGAAGTGCTTAAGCTTGCAGAAGATAGTGGGATTTGGTTATGTATGTCTTCTCCAGGAGGGCCAGGTTCCCTTTTGAAATTAAGGAGGATATGAATTGGCAGACTTCAGGTTGATTATTGTCTATTATACTAATATTGAAAGAGATTTTTCCTTTTGAAAGCAGGAAAATTAAGATATTTTCAATAATCTTAATGGCATGAAGCTGTGTCACGTAACATTTAGGGTGGATATTAGCAAAAGCTTCTTCACTCAGAGCACAGTTAGGCACTGGAACAGGTTCTCCTTGAAAGTGGTCACAGCACCAAACCTGACAGAGTTCAAGAAGCATCTGGGCAATGTTGTGACTGATCCCGGTGTGTGTAACTGCTGAGGACAGTTGTAGTTAATGAGCCTTGTGGCCACTAAGTGGAGCTAAAACATCAGTGACAACGAGAGTGCATAACCTGACCCTGAAAGCAGGAGTGTCCTTTGGGGTGGACATGGTCAGCTCCTCCCTCTTCCCTTCAGGCTGGAGAGGTTTTGGGAGGATGAGGGATCCTTCTAAGTTGGTTCCCTAGAAGCCCTGTGGTGATTCCCTTTGAGGCCTTGAGACATGTCTGTCACAAGATCCAGGGCTGCTTTGGGAGTTTATGGATAGCAGAAGTATCTGAAGATTTAAGTGCAACTCGAAAAAGGAAAGGAGTTGTCCTTGGAATGAGTGTCTGCTCAGTGGAATTGCAGCATGAGGTCAGGTTTGCTTCCTCTGACCACTCATTTGTGGAAATCCTGGTTGTGACCAGTATGAAAGAGAAAATGGAACCAGACAGACTGAAAGTGCAGGAACATGATTCTTGTTTTGTTCCTCTGTCAATGATTTACCTACCCTGCCTTCCCAGCCTCGTCTGCCTGAGGCACATTTGTAAAGCACTGGATAAATATCCCCGTGGAATGGAAGATGTGGTGTCACAACCTCATTTGGCTCAGAGTCATGGAAAAGTATCACAGAATCATGGAAAAGTATCACAGAATCATGGAAAAGTATCACATTTTTTGCAGA